AGAGAGAGAGAGAGAGAGAGAGAGAGAGAGAGAGAGAGAGAGAGAGAGAAAGAGAGATCTTCTTCTTCTTCTTCTTCTTCTTCTTCGTGCAAACCCTGCAGCGGCGCGCGCCGCGCGAGCACGTGGGACAGCGGCCCCGCGCTGCCCTGCGGCCGATGCACGGCCGTAATCGTCGGCTCGCGCGGCCTTTCCAAGCGCGCAGCGGTTTTAGTGACCGGCTGCGGCCGAACACGGCCGATCACGGACGAACCCGGCCGCACGCGGCCGAGCGAGGCCGTTCGCGGCCGACAGCGGCCGGGCGGAGCAGCCCGCCTCGGGAGGCCGGTCGAGGGCGGCCAGCCGGGGTGCTGGTTGGCCGTAGCCTGGAGCGACAACAGGGGGACTCGGCGGCGGGAGCGGCGGGGGTGTCAGGGTGCAGCGACATCGAGGGGGCGCTACATCGACGGTGCGGCACGGTCATACGATATCGGCCGACGCGGACACGACTTGCTGGATCCTGGTGGGGGGGGCGATGACGGGGGGTGCAAGGACCAGCGGTGCGGGGGGGTCTGGGGGTGCCCAATTCAACTCGCTGTCCGAGAAAGAGATGGCGAAGTTGAGGCAAGGGAACATTGTTTGGAACTACGTCACCGCGGGCCAGTACGTCGGGGACCAGTCGAAGATGCACGGGGACGGAAAGTTGCGTTGCAACTTATGCGGCCACCTGTTTCAGGGGGGGTCGTCGAAGGCCGCGCGTCATTTCACGCAGTCGAAGTTCTGCAAGGCTTGGGGGAAGAGAGTTCTCGCGAAACTCTGGAACGGCACGGACTACACATTTGTGCCGTCCACTGCTCATCGGGTGCAGAGGTGGATGGCAGACAAGGGTATACGGGACACAACGACAATCAGGACGCCCTCGATGAGGAGGAGGCTCAGGAGGGCCGCGAGGGTGGGGCCAGGGAGGGGGCGGTTGCAGACGAGGTAGACGAGGCAGTCGGAGAGCCTAACCTGCCGGGGGAGGAGGTGGTGATGACGTCGAGAGGCGTCGGTGGAGCGGGTCCTGCTACTAGGGCGCCGCGAGATGAGCTGGACCGCGCAAGGAGGGAGAAGAGCACAGTGGGGCAGACTGGCGTCGAGGTGCTAGACACGGGCAGGGAGAAGAGGGCTCGGCAGACCACGATTGTCGAGATGTACGCCTGAGAGAAGTTGGCCGAGTTCCATGACGCGTGGCTTCAGTGGATCTACGTGAAGAAGTTGCCATTCAACGCCTTCCGTGGTCCTGAGTTCCAGAGGGTGCGGCATGCAGCAGAGAGAGTGCCTCGGTCTATCCAGTTCCGGTTTCCCTCCTTCAGGGTTACAGCGGGGGCCGGAATCCCTTCGCAGAGGGCGAAGGTGGCGATGATGGTGAGCGAGGTGCGCACCACTTTCCGGCACAGCGGTGCCAGTATCCTTTCCGACGGGAGGAAGTCGCGCAGCGGCAAGCCGCTCGTGAACTTCCTGGCAGGGGGCGCCAATGGCGCCCTGCTGTACGCCACCGTCGCACGTGATGGGTCGGTCCGAGACACAGCGGATGTCATGTACCGTAGGTGGCGGGCCATCATCTTGTCCTTTCCTGCAAAGGACGTGATCGGCTTCTGCACAGACTCCGCCAGTAACTATACGGCGGCAGCGCGCAGGTTCGCCACAGACCCCGAGCCTGACATCAGGAGGATCACTTGGCTCCCCTGCTCCACCCATGTCTGCAACTTGATGTTGTCAGATATCGGGAGGCGAGTGGTGTGGGTCAAGGAGACCATCATCCGCGCTCGAGCGCTTGTGCGATTTATTAAATCGCACGACGCTGCTCACACCCTGTTTAGGAAGGTGAGCCCTCGCGTTCAGCTCGTCAAGCCCGTTGAGACACGGTTTGCATCGGTTTTCCTGATGCTGACGTGTCTCAAAGGCNCCTGTTTAGGAAGGTGAGCCCTCGCGTTCAGCTCGTCAAGCCCGTTGAGACACGGTTTGCATCGGTTTTCCTGATGCTGACGTGTCTCAAAGGCCAACGAGACGCGTTGGAGAGCATGTTGCACGGGGATGCTTGGGCACGCATCCCATGGGATCCCGCCCACGTATCTCAGGCGCAGTGGGTGCAGCAGCAGATCCGGGACGGGGAGTTTTGGCAGCGTGTCCATTACGCCATCCTAGTCATGTCGCCCGTCCACCAGCTGTTGCGCAGGATGGATAGAGGTGGGATGATGATGTCCGTCGTTTACGAGTGGAGTCAATATCTGCTGCAGTTGATGAGGAGGGTCGACGTGCCTGAGGACATGATCGATCCGTGCGTGCGTGAGGTTGCCATCCGCAACCTCCACATGCTAGAGCCCGCACATGTCGCGGCCCACCTCCTCAACCCTCGCCGACGGTCCCTCACGTATTACCATTCGCTGCAGACGACCGTCGAGGACCACCTTGTGGTCGAGGAGTGCGACAGATTTCTCCTTGCGCAGACCGGCGGCGATCCGGTCGGGTTATTGTACAAGACCGTGAGGGACCAGATGAGGGCGTTCGAGGCGAGAGGATTGGGGAGATCGTGACCTCTCCGATGCCGAGGCGGCAGATTGTAGGGGGGACAGCGAGACCGAGCGATGTGCAGCGTGGTGGTTCGAGCATGGACGTGCCCACCCGGAGTTGCGCACCATCGCCATCCGTGTCATGCACTTGTGGACGTCTGCCTCTCCAGCGGAGAGGAACTGGGCGGAGCACGAGCGCGTCAACACGACGAGGCGCTGCAAGCTTGGGTTCGCCAAGCTTGCACAGCTGGTTGAGATTGCCACCAATCTCAAACTGGCCTCGTGCACACGACAGGGTGGTGGTTACGTGTTGCCATGGGTTATGGGGAGCGGTCGAGGGGGGGCGGCGGCAGAGGAGGAGGATGAGGAGGGAGATGTGGAGTCCGAGGTGTGGGGCGCACGACCTGATGGCAGTGTTTCCGAGCAGGAGATCCAGCGGCAGATTGTCGCTTTCCGTGACAGCCGACCGTCCAGAGCCCGTTCGGTTCGGGACGTGTTTGGCAGCAGAGCGACGGAGCTGCGACCGTGGCCGGAGGGTGGGGATGATGTGGACGCTGCTGCGGCAGACGACGACATCGACGACGACTGGACTGACGATGATGACACGCCGCTGAGTCGCGACCCGATGGCTGAGCGAGTGTACTTCACTTACGGTGGGGGTCGTGACGACACAGATTCATTCACATCAGTTATCACTGGAACTGTGCCGTCGACCAGGCCGGCGAGTGGCAGCAACAGAGCCGGCGGTGGTCATGGACGACGTTCACATGCGGAGGTTCGCGTGGACGACTCGGAGGAGCAGCAGGCACGGGGAGGTCTTCGGCACATAGGCAGGCGTTGGGAGGTGAGGAGCGACAGCGAGGCGGAGGGGGAGGCCGAGGATGAGGAGGTGCACCTTCGCGATCGTCGCTTCTCTCCCTCCCATCATCCGATCTCTGCACAGCCCGAGGGGGAGCCACTTAGGCGTTCGGAGAGGTTGGCGTCGGCAGCAGGCAGAGGCCGGACACATGACTGCGAGGATCGCGGGGGGGAGAGGACTCCTTCCTACGCCGGTATCCGCCGCCGTTCGCCATCGGTGCTCCGCACACAGGACTTCGAGGACATAGAGCTTGGCGGGAGCTTGGGAGATTTGAGTGTCGAGGGACGTCGACGTGCCTCACCGCAGGATGTGCGCACAAACGCGGACGTTGAGCGGGGCCCTGTTGAGACAGAGGAGGAGAGGGATGCCCGTTTGGACCTAGAGGAGGAGGAGCGGCTGAGGAGTTTGCCACAGTGGGAGGGTTGGTTCGCGTATCTTGACGAGCAGCGTCGGCAGAGGGACTTGGAGACAGGAGGGGAGGGGAGCCGTGACGTCGACGACTCGGGTGTCCCTGAGGAGGCGATTCAGGGCGAGTTCGATTATGAGGGGCAGGATGCCGCCGTGGGTGTCCCTGAGGGGCAGGATGTTGTCATGGGCGGCGGGTCCCCTAGTGGGGGCCGTGGCGATAGCGAGGCCGCGGGTGATGAGGGACAGGGTGCCGCAGCGTGCGACAGAGGAGGGGGTGGACCCGGTGGAGATGGGGATACCGCGGGTGCCGGTGGAGACGATGGACCAAATGGCGACGATGACGACGACCACGGTCCGGAGGATGATCCAGATAGGCTCGCCTTGGTGTTGAGGGACCCCACAGTGCCTCCCATGCGCCCTGACGGCACAGCGCACACTTTCTTGGACGACGACGCTTTGGCGCATGCGTTGACGGATGACCGTTTCGCACACATGGGCCGCAAGAGCGGCAAGCAGCAGGCCCCTGGGAGGGCGTATTCACCGCCGCCGTTCACAGTGGTGAGCCCTCACTGGTCGGGTTCGTTGGTCAGTGGCGTTAGAGGGAGGGAGTTTGGTGCGGGTGAGGTGGGGTCCGGCACACGTAGCGACGGTGGCAGAGATAGTGCAGGATCGATGCCTCCACCACCCGCACGGACTGCGGAGGGCAGGGTCGACACCGGGGACTGGACGGTGGCACCCGGAGTTGCGCACAGTGGCGGTTCCCCGCCGCCAGTCCGAGGAGGTGTGGGTGGCGGATGGTCAACTATTCATCGGGTCGGGGACCGGTTGCGGGCGGATTACGACGCCGGGAGGGGCGTCTTCACGGGACGTGTGCCTGCTTAAATGCCGGCTGAGGAGGGCGGGTCCGGACGTCCGAGCCTGCAGATGGCAGGTCGCATGCTTGGTTTGTCACGAGCGGAGATGAGGAGGACATTGGTCCTAGAGGCCCCAGGGACATCCACGGATAGGCTGCAGGGAGAGCAGTTCACATCGGGCGAGGAGAGGTTGTTGATGCGTCCCAGGACGAAACGACCGCATGGCTTTTCAGAGGTTGAGGCTCGACTCGCTGCAAGGGTCGACGCTGGGCAGGCAGCGTTGGACGCGATTCAAAGGGAGAGAGAGAGGGGGATTGCTGCACAGGCGGAGGAGGACGAGGACGCAGACACTGAGTCCGAGCCGATTGAGACTGCGGCCCGCAGACACAGGGCACAGGTGACCGCAGCGGCCGCTGCAGCACATGCGGCATACGTCAGTGGGGCACGGGGCACAGGTGCCGGAGGGAGAGGAGGGCGTCGGGGAGGATCGCATGCCCGCGTGCGCTCTGGTGGGAGAGGCCATGCGCGCTCTGGTGGGAGATGACGACGTCCATGGTGTATTATTTTTTTTGTCATTAGTTTTTTTTTTTTCCCCCTTGGCTGTACAGCCTGAACGCTCTATCGGCAGGGTTGTAGCATATTTATGTTGATGTTGTTCCATGGAGACGACGACAGTACGTGGACGTTAGGTTTTTTTTTTTTTTTTTTTTGCTACTCGGTTATACTGTAGAGACGACGCCCGTCGACGGATCCAGTTTTTTTTTGGTACTCTGTTGTGTAGCAGAGACGATGGGTCCAGTTTTTTTTTGCTACTCGGTTGTAGAGTAGAGACTACGGGTCCAGTTTTTGGCTTCAGCCTTGTACATACGCATTTCTATTAAAATGCTTTGTCATATATTTGCTCTTGTTCTTGTTCCTCCGCCAAGATTGGTCTTGCATTTGAGTCGTTGTTGTTTGGTGATTGTTTTCTGCTCTGTTGTCATGAATGTGCTGTTAATTTCAGATGCGACATAGGGATGATGTGCTAATGAATGTGTTCTTACATAAATGATATGCTAATGAATGTCCATCAGTCTCATGAGTGAACACACACTATGACACACTTGCATGTTATCATTATTTGAAACTTGTGGTTCGCCCAACTTCGCCGCATTGTGATTGATTTGCAATGTGTTTTGACATTGGTATGCCAAACAGGGTCTGACTTATGATTGCCATGAATGTGTTGTTTTAAAATAACCGACGAACTGTCATCGCCCTCATTAATGAAACCGACACCTACCTTTCAGTGCGTGAGGCCCTGATCCGCCTCCGGTCTACCATCTGCAGCCCCGTCTAGCTTCGAGCCGGCCTGGGTGCACGGCCCGCCCCAACCAGGCCCTCATCCAACCCACGTTGGGCCGCCCCGGGATGGGACAAATATATATTTTTTTATTTTTCCACTGTTCTAGACCCTCCTCCTTGCGACCCCGCATCGACGAACCTGCACACGGGGGCCGCTGGATTTTTTGCGGGCCACCCTTCCAAGGGCTCGTGCTGGACCCCCCCGTTTTTATTTTTTTTTAAGCCCTGTCACTTTTAGGGGGTGCCCCCCCACTCCCCCATCCCAAACCCGCACCCCGCCACGAAAACCGCCCCCCAGACCGGCCGTGACCTCGACCGAAAAAATTCGGCCGGGCCAGCCGCGGCCGGGGGGGTCCCGGCCTAGGCCGCTGGCCGTGGCCCGGGCCAAACTCGGCCACGGCCAGCGTGCAACATAGCCGGACAGTTTTGTTTGTGACGATATATATATATATATATATATATATATATATATATATATATATATATATATATATATATATATATATATATATATATNGCCTCGACCTCTGCCCAACCATCTCCAACAAGCGACGAGTGTCCTGTCCGATCTGGTGAGCAAGGACAAGAACAGCAGCACAAACCCTCGCGCGATCCCTCCTTGGCATTTGAGCCATCTCTCTCTCTCTCTCTCTTTATATATATATATATATATATATATATATATATATATATATATATATATATATATATATATATATATATATATATATATGTCCTCTTCTCTCTCTCTGCCTACGGTTTACCGGACAGTTCTATTTGTGACGGTATATATATATATATATATATATATATATGTATTTCTCTCTCTATCTCTCTCTCTCTCTACCTCTCGACGTTTTTTTTTTTTTTTGAGTAATCAAAATGAGAAAATGATAGCTATAACACGAAGAAGAAGAAAAAGATAGAAAAGAAAGAAGAAGAATAAAAATAAGAACGGCACGGCGATCGCGACCCTTCCAAATACCAGCACCGCTGACACCTAACAAGGCGCTATCGCCCTCCCTTCCCTTACCTCTCCTTTTCCTTGCCCCTCCCCTCCTCCTCCTCTCCCTCTCTCTCTGTATGTCGACCTTTTATTTTGTTTCCTGTTTTAAGTAGTAAAAAATGGTGAACAACAAAAATAAAAAAAATAAAAAAAAGAAGAAGACGGAGGAAAAAAAAAAAAAATGAAAAAAAAAACTATGACTGCGGGGGGGGGAGCGGATAAAGGGACGAGGGGGAATGGACTCGGAATGGCAAGGGCGTTGCTAACCTATAACATGGCTGTGTCGGTCGCATGTGTCTCTCTCTCTCTCTCTCTCTCTCTCTCTCTCTCTCTCTCTCTCTCTCTCTCTCTCTCTTGCTGACTCAACTTTTTTTAATTACGTAGGTTAGAGAAAAAAAAAACAACCTACCTAGTAAACAAAAAAAAAAAAATTAAACAAGGAGAAACGTCGAAAAAGAAATAGGGGAAGAATAACAAGGAGGAAAAATAAAATAAAATGAAGAAACAAAAAAAAGTTAGGATATGAGAGACGCTTTATCTAATTCTCATATATACAACATAAATTTATAAACATTCTGTAAAACTCAAAAACGTTTTGTTTAAATTAACACATTTCAGCCTCAATCAATAGATTTAAGTCTTATTATCATCCATTTGTTCTTTCGCACCCTTGCACGAAACTCCTCTCCGAGAACTGATACAACCACTGAAAGAAGGTCGGGGCTCCTTACTCCCTCCCCAAAAAACTTCTATACAAATACAATTTTCGGCTCTCCACCTCTTTGAAGTCATTCAATAGATTCTAACTTATTTCATGTTTATTGAAACTTTGCTGCTATCCCCATCTAATTTTAACAAAATTATACTAGTGTCAATTTTCAATAACGTCGTTTGGTTGGTATTCATACCCATAATTAATCACTATTTGAAAGCACAAAAATTGAAGATACAAAATCAAGAACTGCAAAACTCCTTTAACTTTTGAGAATCTTACAAAAATAAATATCGCTCAAATTTAAATTTCATTGTACATAAGAAATGACATAAATGACAAACCATAAAATGATAAAAGTAAACGAGGCGAATTGAGAAAGATCATGAAATTCAAGTATTCCACAAACAATCTACACAGTTGTGTAGGTGTGTCTCGTTATGTGTCAGAGAAAGAGAGAGAACGAGAGAACGCTTAAGAGAGAGAGAAAAAACAATATGTGTAAGGGCGGGTGACTGAGAGAGGGGTGTCTTCAGATTGGGCTTAGGGGGTCATACGGTGATTGCAGTCCAATAGCAGGTCATCGTTGATGAAGGGACTAGGGGGAGGGAGAAGAAAAATTGTTTGGCTGCAACTGCAAACCTAACTTTCCACCTTGGGCGTCCGGGGTACCCTACCGTGCCTGGAATGGCGTCCGGGGCGCCCAATCAGGTGATCCCCCCAAGTAGGCAGCCGGGAGCCTCTCGCACAGATGAAGAAAAAACCTATAAAAAAAAAACGTACCACCGCCCTATTTCGAATGTGCCAATTTTTTTTTTTGCAGTCCGTCCATTCTTGTTTTGAGTCCAGTAGGCCGTGTTTTCGGCAACCTACTAGTGGGTGTTATAATTTTTTCGGTCGGTCCATTTCAGATTGAATATTTATTTTTATCGACTACGGTCGATCCTTTTGATATAATAATGCGTGGGTGTTATAATTTTCTTTTGACTTTGTATCTAAAGGGACTAGGATTAATGTTGGGTTTCACGCTTGGTTAATTCCGTCCTATTCGACCGACGTTTGCTCCGCACCTAAGAGATCAACGCCCTAAGAACGGACAACGTTCGAGTTCATTTGGCGTTTAACCAAGCATATCTATGCTACAGCGAACAAGCAAAACCCCTCGGCTAACCTACCTCTGCGATTGCATCTAAGAACTTTCACACGTGGGTCAGTAGCTCAGTAGGGATACGTCCCTAAGGCTGGTGACAACCCCTTAGGGAGGGGAAGCTTTTGTCCCATGGGAACCTATCCTGTCGCAGGGGACCACAGGATGTGCGACTGGCGCACCCAGCTAGAGCAGCGAAGGGACGACGCTACCTCGACCGTCTCGGTGGTTCGCGAGATTATTTTGCGTTGTTCCCAAGTTGTCTCTCATTTTGTTTTGTTTGGTTTAACTCTAGCGTGACATGGTCGGGAGGGCTCCCACGCTTTGCGAAAAAGTGGGAGCTGATGCACTTGACAACGAATGCTCATGTATTTATGCATGGCTGGTCATTATGAAGGAGACTCGTGAAACAACGTCCTATTTATGCAGAGCCTTACGCGTGACGTCAGTGCGTTTCGATCCATAAAAAGGTTACGGGTCAGGTAGAGAAAGGGGTTAGGCGTGATCTACAAGTGAAGCTTGATGTTGTTTCGTAAAGTGTATCGTGTGGTTAGAATGACCGTTGTCAGACCAAATACCCTTTTACAAGGGTATTTGGCCATGTTTTTACAGTCAACACACCGATTGCACCGACCGCCATGACGGAGTTGGTTTGGATTTAAAAATGTACTCGTCTTTCGCGCGATACTTTGAAGCTATTCCCTCGAGCATCGAGGTCGGGGCAAATCGGTGAAAAAATTTCATTAGTATGCACTCTCGTTTTTATGACGCGCGCTATGATGGTTAGGATCGGTAGTATTACCCTTCTACCGAATAGGTCGAGGGGTTGATTGGGTTAGGTTTATGTCGAGAAGATCTACGACACACGCTGAGACTTAGTGGTTAGAACGTTAGTT